CTAATATCACACCCCACTTGCCATGTTCACAGGACAAGGCAATGCCAAACAAGAACCCATGGGAGAGCTACAATCCAGCCTGTGAGTACCAGAATTACGCCACTATGAATGTACTAGAATCTGACACCAAGGACTCACTGGAGATGACGCCTGCAGAGTGGGAAAAGTGTGTCAACTTGCCCTTAGACGTCCAGGAGGGAGACTTCCAAACGGAGGTCTAGACGGTGAAGAAGGAGAAAATGCAAACTAGAAAAAGGAGGAGAAAAGGATGTATTTTGCACTGAATAAAGCAACAGACTTTTCTAACAGCCTTGGCATACATATCTGGATAATACAAGTGTGGCAGGGACATTATGTGCCAATACAATATAAAGGACTGGGGAGAGAGAAAAAAGAAAAAAGGGAAAAAAACATCAGTGTTACTTTTTGTATTCTCACTAGTGTACTTAGTGTGGGGCAGCCTGGTGTACAATATTTACCATCATGTGTTTCAAATTATCTGTTGAGGAATTGGCTAAAAAAGGTAATCTCTCTAGATGAAACCTCACAAAGCAAATGACATGCCATGTCGTCCCAGCTTCATTGGGTCTAGTTTTGATTTCATAAAACTGGACCCGGGAGCACAATGTATATATTTATGCAGGTTTTTAAAAAGTTTATAACAGTCTGTTTGGCCATTACTACACTTTTTACTTTATAATATAAAACATGGGAGGCAAAGAGGATTTTTTCTGTCATATTAAAATGAATGTTTGTCAAGCTACATTCTTCATTGCTTTAAATGCAATAAAGATAATACTCACTTTTATATAAATAATATATTTCACAACTTTAATACTGCAGAATCTGCTTGAAGGATCCCAGCAAGCTCTCTCATCTGCAGCTCTGTATAAAATATTTAAAAACAAAATGTTGTATGGTGTAAATAAACTTTTGTCTACATATGTTTTACTTGTGCCAATTTATTTTAATGAGAACAAATGCCAACCTGATCAAAAGTTATAGCGAAAAATGTTAACATTTGAAAAGGAATGTAAATAAAAGAGGAAATATGTTCGTACTGCTTCAGAGGTTGTGTCAAGTTTATGTGGTTTGTTGGTTGGGGGATTCACTACTCACCTTGTCTTGTTAAGAGGACTGTTGAATGTGTAAAATCAAATGATGCTAGTGACTGGATATAAAGCTATCCCTGCCCGAGTGTTTATGAAAGTAAGGAGGACTTCTAAGATAACACGTATTTGAGAATGTCCTGTTGCTCTGAAATGCATAACATCCAATCTTGTCTCCAGCTTAGCTTAGTACCCACTGCATTATCCAAAAGTCTCTCCAGTACCTCACATACTGTCCCCGCTGATGATTCTTTACTCAAGTTAGTCATTCCCTTTATGATTTAAACCTTCCCTTCCACTTTAGTTGAAGGTTAGTACTGTAAAGTTTCCAACTCACCTCATAAATCCACTCCCGTATCTGATTTCTGAATTTGGATAGGAAACATTCAAACTCCTAATAGGTTTCTGTGCCTCCAGAAGGTTCACCTGATAAGATCAGTTAAGATTTTCCTGGGCAGACGGGGCCAGACAGTGCACATATGGGAGGAGGGGGCGAGGGCTTAGGGAAAATCTTGTTTGTCCTGTCTGGTGGTCTGCCGTACGGCTGACACTTTGGCAGTGAGCGCATCAGTATGAGTGCCCCCTCTGGGGAGCGGTGGTCCACCCAGCAGGAGAAGAGGAAGAGACGGAGGAGGGGCTGGGACTCGGATCTGCACCATCGGTGAAGAACGATGACGAGGGAAAAAAGGGGGACGCATACAATAAAAACGCACGCTTACATTAATGAGGACTCTCAGTTGTGCTCTGATGTCCTCACAACATACTGTAAATTGAATTGATTACTCATCTCAGTCTAGACATTAATGTCTGGATTTACAGTCCATTTCACTTTAGACTACCATGCATAATTAGGTTAATTATATACAGTACTGCTGCCTGTTAGAGGCTCTGAGAGAGATCTTTTTCAGTGATGTGCCAACAACCTATACAGTGAAATGCCTTTAGAAACACTATCATCCCACCACTGGCTTTCATTTATACTCACACATTGTCTCTTTCTTCATACAAAAGCCATAGTCAGCAAATAAGAGTGATATTATATCTGTGTTTTAAGGCATATATATATTGAATTTATACATTTTTTAAAGAACCAGACACTGCTAGAACTGTCTTCCTGTGTTAAACATAAAAAGGGACCTCAGTAGAGAGAGTGTAGCCAGTTACCCAGTGTCAGAGGATAGAGTGGAGTATTTGTATTAACGTCACAATTCAGAAACTATTGGTAAAATAAATATGTTCTGTTTTCACACCAATGCATTACTGTTACTCTGTTAACTATGGTTAAAAGACATTGTCAAGTTTTATTTGCTAGTCGTGCAGCTGCTTTTGCTCCCCAAACTGCAAGTGTTAATAAATGCAGGCGGACATTTTCTTACACAATCAATTTCATCTGGAGAAATATGAAAACAGATACGTTTCAGTGCCTCCAGAGATAGTTTATGTGCCCATATGACCGAATGAATGTGGAGCTCTATACGTATACTGGAGAATTATGTCACTGTCAGATGAGCATGCCGTGTAGGTAGTGATTCACCAGCAAATGAGCGTGACAAACTTTACCATGCAAACACACTGTCTGAAAGGGCCAATTTTAAGTTGGTGTTATAAATGCTAGTTCTTTTATTTGAACTTTCCATTTGTGTCAAAACAAACAGACATCATCCAGCTCACATCATGCTTTTTCCTTTTAACTGGAAGTGGTTGTTTCCTCCAACAATACTGCACAAATTGAGATATGATTTATTTTGACAGTCTCAAAACTAAATTATTAGTTCTATCATCTTCTGTCTGTGCCAGCACTTCCTGCACATTTTAAATAGCCATGTTAAGATGCAAAAATAAAACATATTTAAGCATTATTCAGTCATACTTAAATAATGAAAATGATATAATATTTAAGATTGTTATTCACTATTTCCAGATCATACTGCAAACTTGTCTGTTAAAAGTTTGACAACACATCCTGTGTGTCTGAAAGTGGAAACCTGTATTATTTAGTCGTTGGTAAATGGAGCTGGGACATGTTGACAACCCTCTTGGACGAGTCTTCATTTGGGAGTTAGTGGCAAGTCCCACGGGCCTGTAAGAGCAGAGAGGTTAACCTGCTTAGGGGCTGCAAACACTGAATCAACATAATCACATTGATCCTGCGTCACTTTCCTCCCTGGAGGTATGACAGAGGGGTAAGGCAAACTGTTAGTCTATCAAGGGCCTGTCAGCAGAGTTAAAGCCCGGAGGACTGGCTTGGGGACACCCAAAAAACCACAGAAACCATCCCGGCAAATGTTGTGTAGGAAAGAAAAAGGAAAAGTGGTGAAATGTTTAACAAAACAGCTAAAAGTTACAAGTTCGCCCCCATGATTGAAATCATTTTGGCAAACATGACTTGTTTCTAACATCATCATCACGTTCATTTCTTTAATTAATGCCCAATATTTATATATAGGGATATTATAATTTTTAAATACCTACAAAAACTAATAACATTTGCGTCAACGTCAGCTGCACTTTGTGTGTAGCGCTAATTAGCAAATGCTAACAAGCTAAAGATTAACATTAAACCTGGTAAACATCAGCATGTTAGCACTGTTGTTGTGAGCTTGTTAGCAAGACATTAGCATCTAGCTCAAAGCACCGATAGTTCAGTTCAGTTACAAAGGTTTTGTTGTTAAAACGCTTTATTAGAATTTCACAATGTCCTACATTTTTTAAATAACACTACACAGAATTAAATATCTTGATAACCATTACGATAACCGTCCAACTGTATACCACAGTATACCATGCTATCGGTGTACGTTGTTGTGAGTCTTGCTAACAAATGTCTCTGAAGCTAATGCTAACTGGAGAAAAAGCATTAATAGAATACAGTCATATCAACTCTGACAATTGTTTAATCAGGTATTTACCCCCCAAATTAAATAAAAAGTAAATAAAAGTTAATGTGACGTTATTGTTAGGGATTAGTCATTTAAGTCAGTATATTTTAATTCGACATAGATGTCAGAGCCTGCATTTTTTAAAGCTATTACACACAAAGATAAAAAACACAGACACATATTCTCATCTCTGCTTGCGAGCTACAATAGCTACAAACACCTGAGCGTGGGAGGAAGAAACGGGTTATCTCCAAGGCCGGAACACCTAGTTCTGACCGTTGCTGTAGTTTCAATAATTGATATTGTATGGGAGGGGAAGCAAGGCGGAATTACTAATTTTTCTTTTAGGGCGCTGTCTCCTCGGAATTGGTTGGGTCGTGTGCCAAGAGGCTTGGAAACACCTTGGCCCCAGTGGCACCACAAAGCGAAGCCACCAAGTCTTAAAACCAACTGGTTGTTTTCCCATCATTATCATCAATCATCCATTTGCTTAATATAATCACCCATAACCTCATGTAACCTTTGGTCATCCGAACTCTTTTCTGGGGCGAGGAAAAGACACAGAGTAACAGCAACTGCAGGCCGCTGACGTGTGGCTTGAGAGAAGTTGTTTCTTGTCTTTATGTCTAGCAAAGATCATTTTGAATACAATGACAGAACCAGGTATTGCATGAGCTAAGCCGTAGCTTAGCTAGCGTGAGCTAAAGAGTATGACCATCTGTATTACTTATCATACGGGCCCCAGAAGTTCAAGGCACGACCTATTAATATACGGGCCAGAGTCAGGCACACTCAAAATTTCTTTAGGAATTTTCTAGTTTTATCTACTGTGTTATTGTTGTATTTAGAGTTGCTTTAACATTTCCCCAGTATGGGATCAATCAAGTCTATCTTGATCATCCCATATTATCCCATCTCATCTCATCTCATCTTATGTATCTCAGATTGATATAATAAATATTTGATTCAGCATGTTGTGTGTGCTAAGGTTGGAAGAACTGCTTACTTGACAAGACAACGTACACACTCACAAAATGCCAGAGAAAGAAAAGCTGTACTTACATGGTTTCTTTGGACATTTCTGGCATTTGTGGAAACCCCAGGATGTCCCAATGGTCCCACAGCACTGCTCCTGCTTAGTTAGACCTGGCAGAGCCTTCCCACACTGAAACATAGATATGTACAATGACACACAGTGGGACAGAGAGCAAGGGATGGAAGAGGATTATTTATTAGTTATATTCTAATCAAAAATAAAATAATGTCTGCTTCCTCTGTATGTCTGATCCCCAGGTGTCACACACAAACACCTCACCCCCTTTCAATCCGATGAATCATATGGTCACACATGCTGATAACAAATATTTATTTTCCTATCCAGCCCTCCATTACTGAGTCGCTTAACTTTATAGCAACAACTGCTCTGCATAATGTGACCTGTGATAGAGTGACTCATGATTATGAACTTAAACTCAACATGGTGAATTCGTGCAGTGAGACAATATATAAGCAGAGGTTGTCGTATTTGTATCCAGGGTAGATGCTTTGACTTGGATGTGGCACCATACATTTGTCAATTTTACTGCCTATTTTAGTGTTTGTGCTTTAAATGTAACCTAAACAGGTTTTGGACTTTTTCTCCGATTAGTCATTGATGTAAACAGACCTGTAGTGCACAGAAGTCAGCTGATCCTGCTTTAAACTAACTTCAACTCAGAGCAGACCATGTTGGGTAAAACGTGTGTACAGCTGGTGATTGTCAAACTAACTTCAGCCTGCTGTTTGACTGGCAGCTTTGTCTACTCTTCTCTGTTTGTACAGTAATTTGCAACGTTGGGACAAGTGGCCCGATTGCCCTGTTGGTTTGATCCCCAGCTCCTCCCGCCACGTGTTGAAGTATCCTTGAGCAAGATACTGAACCCCAAACTACACAAATCCTCTTTGTTCCATCAGTTTTACTGAGCTAATATACAGTAGACATTAGTGCACCTGACTCCCTGCGGTCTCCTGGAAGCAGCGACCCAATGTGTTCTTAGAGGTGACGGGTTGGTACTGGGGGACCTGGTGGCCTTGCTGGCTGGGATAAATGTTGTAGCCGTGGTGCTGGATCTTCTGGCTGCTCTCTGTGTGGTGGTAGCTGTAGCTGGTGGATGAAGAGGAGCCTGGCTGGGAACCTTTCAGCTGGTGCCCGTTGTTGTGGTAATTGTCCAGCTGAGACACCTGGTGAACCTGGACAGAGGCTTCTGGAGGATGTTTGATGTGGATATTGACGAAGCTGGGGCTGAACACTGGAGGCACATAGGACGACATGAGCAAAAATGTTTTAGAGTGCATCACTATAAAAAGGGAACTGTGGGTATTCCTGGAAACAATGTGCAATATCAGAATCAGAATCAAAAATTCTTTATTGATCCCCGGGGGATATTTTTGGCGGGAGCAACTGTAACAGGCAGCATGCACTCTCAACGCATGCACACTAACTGGGAGACATTCATCTGCTTTATGATTTAATTTAATTTAATTAATGTGTTAGGATGCAAACTAATGATTTTTTTCATTGTCAATAATTTGCAGATTATCTTATCTCCATTCAGGTCACGAAACCACTTGTTTACCCTTTACTTGTACCGCTGGCATCACAATTATGCTTTTCACTCACCAGGATTCTGGCCGTTACTGTAGGTCAGAGGCAGTGTGTGTGTGGAGAAGACCTGACTTTGGCTAAAGCTTCCTGATGTCGGCTGGTGCTGCTGGTGTCCGTTTTGAATGGGCATCTGGCAGAACTTTCCAGTAAAGCTGGGAGGGCACTGACATTTGTCCCTGGCACTGCACTTGCCACCATTTATGCACGGCAGGTGACATACCACTGAGGAGAGAAAAAAAAGCACAAGAAGAAAATGATGTTGAATGGTCCCACTTTCCAATGTCAATACATGTGCGTGTTTGGATTTACATTTTCCTTGACTTTTCAATTCGTATATTTGTGATATTTGCATTACTCTGAAAATCACAATCAACTACTCTCTAATTAATAATATTGTGAGGATAGGATACAAACTAATCCAGTATTGTGAATTGTGAGTTGAATGTACCATCACATTCCAAATCAATAAACTTGAGCGTTTTAGAACTCCTCACCGAGGCTTGACAGGATTCCCACTCTTTTCAAGTTTTTTTCTGACAATACAGGACAGCACTTGCTCACTTAACTCTATTTTTATTTCTCATTTTTCAGTCATGCAGGGTTCATGATAAAGTGTCTCAGTTTCTTTAGAGGTAAGTGGTCAGCCTTTAAGGGACCTTGTTAGCTCGCTTTTGTGATACGTTTGGCTGCTTTCACCAAAGCTATGGTCTCAGCCAAGCAAATGGTAAATCGTAAATGGACTGTACTTATATAGTGCTTTTGTAGTCTTTCGACCACTCAGTGCACTGTAAACTAAATGCCACACTAACCCATCCACACACATTTATACACTGATGGCAATGGCTGCCATGCAAGGTGCCAACTGCTCTTCAGAAAGGAAACTAATCATTCATACACACTCCTACACTGATGCACATTGGGAGCAATTTGGGGTTCAGTATCTTGCTCAAAGACACTTCAACATGCAGCGTGAGGAGCCAGGGATCAAACCGCCAACCTTCCAATTAGTGAGCCACAGCCATCCCAAGCAGATCTGCGGTCTCCGGCAAATTGACTAAACTTTACTACAGTAACTGTAACATTTATTTTGCCACAGCCCCAAAGTGACATGGTATGTTCGTTTTTTTATTTGAGTCTTGACTGTATATATATGTACAGTATTACCTGTATGACACAAAAGTCCCCTAGGTTTATGTAGGCAATCTAAGCAAGGGGCTAAAATACAAACAATTCCAGAACAACGTAGATCATTTCCAGGATACTTGGTCATTTTAATCAACTTCTAGGATGAGTGTAAAACTAGTCTTGGGAACAGGAATTTGATGCCCAAAAAAGATATTTTAAGCTTGCTTAAATGGCATTTTGTTGGCAATTGGCCACGGCAGAAACACAATAATCCAAGTTTGTAGATTTCACTACTCCAATGGATTACACATGGGCTTAGAACCCCCGGGTCAGGGAAAGGTGGTTTGCCTCCACAGTACAACTTGTAAGGTGTTATCCCTTCTGTGAATGCTGCAGTTCCCACAGACCACACCACAGCACAAAGAGCAAAAAGTTCCAATCTAGTGCTTGAGCCAGAACGGACTTGGTTCCTTGTTGGTTGAAAAGGCCTTCATTAGGTGGCTTAAGTACCTACACCTGTCTGTTTGGTGAAGCATTCTGGGAGATGTAGTGTGTGCAACAGTGGCCATTTTGTAATGTGGCAACCAATCCTGTATGGGCCAAAAGGCAATAATACACAGCACAAAGGCGGTCAGGATATATGCATGTACCATATTCAGTTCAATGTGGTATTGGTCCATAATTGGTGCACAGTTGTATGTTGAAAAAAAAAAACACAATATATAGTCATATTAAGGCTTATACATCAAGTAAGAAGGAAACGTATTTAAAATTATACGAAATGAAAGGTCCTTCATACTACACAGGTAGAACAACAGATCATTTTATTAGAATAATAGATCATTTATTATAGAATAACATATAAAATTAAAGCTGCAAGCAGCATTGGGCGGGACCTCGCACTCCACGCGACTCGGGGCGTGCTGCGGCCGCGTCACGTGCCGTCGTAACACGTGCGGACCACAACATGAAATTTTCACATCACCCAACTCCCAAGCCCTCATCGCCAGAAGCTACCCATCTAAGTTTGTCACGGTTTGCAGCAATGCAAACACTCTAAAGCTTTTTAAGGAGGACTCTTCAGTGAAGGTGGAAATTCAGTTGCCATCCACACGGAAAGTTTATGATAGTAAATTAATTACATCACCATTGGAGCAGTGATGGAATATGAAGTCAATAGGAGGCGAAGATGGGGGGCCATGATCAAATCCTGTAGGAGTCAGTTAAGAATAGAACAGCCCCTGAAATGCCCGGAAATGCAATAACCCAGTGGACCACTTTGACGGGCACGCCACGGACACGCCCTTTGCCGACATACAGTCATTAAAGTGCAGTGCGTTCATATTGTGTGAGGCCAAGGTTTTTGAGCCAGAACCGACCAAATTCCCCTGGAGTCAATTCGTTCACAAACAACGGAAAAAAAAGGACGCACCGGAAAGTCCAAAATGGCGCGCCTTGACCGCACACCACGGACACGCCCTAAAGCGTACAGTCACAAACAATGCGCCCACCGGTAGTCCATATCGCACCATCTTGGTTGACTGTCTGACCAACTTTGGTCGTGGTGATAAAATTCTGTAGGAGGAGGTTATTATAAAAGTGAGGCCTGAATGTCCAAAATGCATCAGTTTGCAACATTTTGATTAAAATGGCCATGTTTTGACCGGCAACGCAACGGACACGCCCTTGCGACGTTAACGGTCAAAAATCACAGCGTCCATTACACCGATTTTTTGACCTGTAAGCTGACCGCAAAATGGTTTGAAGCAGATGCCGACCAATGTCCCCCTAGGAGGAGTTGCCTTCCAATAGGGCAGGCCAAGAAAGTAAGAATGCGCACCAACAAAAATGGCCGGCCGTGAGTGTGAAAATTTGAAAAATGAAAATAGCCAAGACTTGCTGTGGGGTTTTGGGGCCAATGGGTGCCAAGAGGCTTTTTTGTTGTGGCGCTGCGGCACCCCGTACACATGACTACCGAGTTTACCATACAACATGGCGGTGACCAACCGCTGGCGGCTGGGGGGGCGCTGCTGCTGTTAAACACTCCTGTAACGGGGCCCCGGGCTATAGGACACCGACAAAAAGACTTTTGCGGATGTGAGCTACAGCACCAGTCCTACCACAATGTCCCAGTGAGACTGCGAGAAGCGAGTGGGAGGGGTACGTATTACGGTTTCCACAGGTGTTTACCCAGCCAAACCACAGTGCCACCTAGTGCGTGATTTTTTTTCCTTTTTAGGGAGCTTCAAGGGGGGAGCCATGGGGGAGCTCTCCAGTTCATTTAATTCACACATACCGATGGCCAGGAGATTACAGGTCTAACTTTGAAGAGCGCCACTTCATGGCGGTGGCCTCGGGTTGTTCAGATTGTGCACAATCTAATAGCCACATGAGAACCTATTGACCCAAGCTTGGTGTCGATCGACTCCGTGGAGAATGGTCCCTTCTTTTTGACGAAAAATTAACGGTGGCTAGTTTTCTTTTTTATTTTTTTCGAATTATCAACTTATTGACTTTTTTTTGTTAGACACTCTCAAGATGCACATGGCAAATTTCGATGTGGATCGCGCACAAAAGGCATGAGATGGAACACGAACCGATGTATTTTCTGGAATTTCGCGTTTCTAAGCGAGAAAAATCTAGGCGGAGTGGCGTGGACCTATATGGCGAGAGATTCAGCTCCATTCAAGCCGAGACGCCGTGGATATGAACGGGTCTTTTTGACATGTGGGCCAACCGATGGGCGGGAGTTACTTAGGGCCGTCCCGAAATTTGCTACCAAATAGCGCCGCCTAGCTGGCCTTCCTGGTTTGGGCCGACCTGAATGTGACGCCATAGGAAATACGAAAAAATTTTTAGCCAGGCCCCGACAAATTTGCAATACAATTACGCGAAGTAGCTACGTTCAGCAGGGGTCAGAAATGGCCGAAAGTCGCAAGAAGAAGAATAATAAGAAACGAAGCAAACAACAATAGGGACCCTTCCACAGTTGTCACTGTGCTTGGTCCCTAAATTAAAGCCACAAAGGCAGCATTGGGCCGGACCGGGCCGTCGCCATCAACCGCTACCGTCGCCTGCATGGCCGTCCGCCGCCCAAGTCACGGCGACAGGCCTACAGCAACGTCACCGCCCACCTCCTCATAGCCCTCGTCGCCAGAAGCTGAGGTCTACATCGTCACCGCGTTTCAGACCCACTGCCTGCAAAAGACTTACGCTTTCATTAACGAGAACCCTTCACTGTGAAAGTGGAATCTCACACACAGTGAACTATTTGATTAACTTTTGAATCACGCAATTCTAGATTCGCTGTGATCCCCTATGAGGAGTTCGTTCAATACCAAAGCGGCGAAAAATTACCACGGAGGCGAGGAGTTCGTCAAAATACAAGACCATCCGGGAATGTCAAGGACACGCCCCTTGGCGAAAGTACAGTCAGCTAAATAGCAGCAAATTATATATACTAATAGCTATATCTGATAATAATCAATATTTTCAATTCAATTCAATTCAATTTTATTGTGTATAGGCGCCATTCATCAACAGAAAGTTTCTCAGGACAACTTTTTAAATAGAGCCAGGTCTAGACCGGAAACTCGCTTTTAACATTTACAGAGACCCAACAGTACCACCACATGGACAGATCCGATAATTCCCTAGGAGCGTGTTTGTTCAAACATACCACAGGCAAAAATTTGCCCCCGAAAGTGAAAATGAAAATCAAAATGGCCGAACGAAAGTGAAAATGAAATCAAAAATGCCGCCGAAGTGAAAATCTGAAAATAAAAAAATGACGCGACTTTCTGTGGGGGGTTTAGGTATGGGTCCAGGAGGCTTTTTTGTATGTCGCTAACGTTGGCTAATATGGCCGTGCCTTGCAGTCCATGTCCCCTAAACCAGGACACCCGGCTGTTTTTTCACAAAGTTTGTTAAGGGGGGGCGCTATCGAGGCATTTGACCACAGGACCACCGCAGGCAAGCAACCCAGATGAAATAGATACACCGATGTTGACATGTGGTGTGTTGAGCCTGTTTTACCCCGCAAGAATCGAGTCAAACGTTAGAGACGAGACAATCCGATGCTCGTTGGCGCGCTAGGGCAAACACCAGTTCAATAAAAACTATGAAGATTCATCAAATGTCATGGGTTGTCAACCACTTTTAAAGGTTTTTCTGACCAAATTTCAGTGGATGTGTTCAACTCTGCCTATAGGAGAAATACATGAAAATGTATACATTGTTATTTTCCGGTTAACCCAAAGTGGCCCACCTAATCAGCTTTTTTACAGAAATATTTATCAAATGATGGTTCAGGGCGGGGCTCTTATCAGACCGACGTTGAAGTTTGGGCCGATTGGACCGATGTACACTCTAAGTTAGGAGCAAATTAATGTGCATCCACATTTGACAGCTACGGCCGCAGTCACGACTAATCAAGGCTCCATAGAGATTGTAGGAGCCAGCAATGCTTGTCGCTAGTCCATTATACTCCAAGATACTTGTACAAGGGCCAAGCTTTCAGGGAGAGGGAAGCGGCCATCAGATCAGATAAAATCAATCATGATATCGGTGAATAGTAGGGCCTATGCGATATAACGCCAAATTTCATAATTCTGATATAGTAATTTTAGTACACGATAACGGATATAATATACTATATAGCACATTTTCTTAAGAGGGAATGAATAAATTGTTTTAGTAAAATTGGACTTCCTTTACTGGATATGATCAGTCTTCTTTACTGTCAGGAATGTACCAAACATCCTTTAAAGTAGCTGTAATTAAACCCCCTTCTTTAAAAAGCACTCCCTTGCCCCAGGGGCCTTTTTACAACTATAGAGCGCGATTTCTAACCCCATCCCTTCCCTCCTCCCCTAAGACTCCTGGCAGAAAAGTAGTCGTCAAAACCAGTTGTGTGACTTTTCTACATAGCAATAGCTTATTTAAGGATTTTCGGTCAAAGTGATTTAGAGTTCATCAGCAGGCGAAGAACAGCACCTGGTTAAAAGTTAATAATGATC